GGGGGGGGGCTGTGTGTATGCTTCACAGGGCATACAGGAGGGACCTGTGACTTCACTGGACCTCATTTTTTACTTTCTCTGTGTTTCCACGAGGCTTTATACAGCTGGAGAGCGTGTAATCCAGGAGAGCTGCCTTTGAACTCTCCACTGGTGATAGGAGGTGTGAGAGGGGGCCCTAACTGGCACATACAGAATGGGCCTCATCGTGTTTCCACTCAAATGGCTTGTCTTGATCCTTGCCATCCTGAGATGGTGGATGCTTTGGGTGTTTCATCCCCAAAGCCTCTCCTTCACCAATTCCTTTGGTTTTGTTTTTCAGTGTGAAAGTTTGCACAGGTCAGCATTTATTAGCATCTGTGGTGTTGTGCTGAAGTTCTGTGAGTTTTGTTTTCGTTGTAGATAAGACTGGGTTCTTACGAAATGCCTCCAGTGGGCTGCTGGCCCTAAATGGTACCTACAGCTTTGTGCCTCTTCTGCCACATGTAGGCCTTACAAGGACATATTTGAGACACTGTGGTTTTGGCTGGTCCAGGAGCCATGGTTCACCTTGATAGGTCCCTACTTGGATTTGACCGAGTGGCTGGCACATACTCTGTTTCCTGGGTCTGCCTGTGCTAATGGGCTCAAGTTTAAGACCATAGCCTTTCAGCTTTCCAAACTTGTATCAGTAATGCGTTGTAGCATGCCCTGGCTGGCTCTGGACTTGCGACTGTGTGACAGTGTCAAGCCCAGACAGGTGGGACTCAGTAACAGGATACGTGGATGCAGGAACCTCTCCTTACACTATATTAGGAACTTCCTTAGCAGGGTGGGGAGCAGGGCTGTGTACCAAACTAGAGCACTGCTATAGCCACAATTTTATCCATCATATGCATGCTATGTCCATCATTTGTATTAACTTTCATCTGCACTAGTCCTCCTCCCTGCTAAACCCCTCAGGGTGTCTTGGGTGGATTTCACAAGCTTGCGTATCCTCCCTTTTCTGGGCCCAGTCTGAACCAAAAGCTGAGGTCAGGAGCTCCCCAAGTCTGATTTGGGCTCTGACTATCTAGCAATATCCAGGCCTGTTAATTTCTCTGGCTCAAGTCTTCCCTGTTATAAACCAGGAATAATAAAGCCTGTCTGTCTTCCCAGGGATGAATTTATCAGCCTCTGTACAGACCACAGCTCCTGGAAAGTGCCATATATGGTACAGCCTGCTTGTTGGCCTCTATTGCCTCTAGGATTGCTGAAGACAGTGTCCAGAGCTCTTGCAGAGCTTCTTTTGCCAAGCTCCGTGGCGCGCCTGGCAGAGCCAAGCAGTTGGAGGCAAGAAAAGATATTACTAGGCTCCGGAGCAGCAGGGAGGAGAAGGGTCGGCCCCAAAGAGAACTGGAGGTGTGAGGTGTAAGTTATTCCCTGGCCCTTGAGCGTCAACCATGTTTGAACTTGCCTTGAACGTAAAAGCCATGTTTCCTTCTACCAAAGCCAGAACCTGACCCGCTGGTGCTTCCCTCCAATTTTTTGTCAGCATCACTCGGCTTTTCCTGTTTTAGCAGATGAGAAGCACTATGTTGAGCCAGGCCTGTTGCCTTTATACAGATGTGAACTTGTGATTAACTAGTAGGTCGGAGACTTTTTGGCTAAAAGGCAGTCAGATTTGGGGGCAGCCAGGTGCATGGGTGCTGAGTCCATTAGTCCAGGGACTTTACATAAAGCTATTCAGAATATCCTGGAGATGGTGTTTATAACCACCATATCCTCTTGGTAAGGGCTGCTTTTCAGAGCAGAAGAATACATGGAAGTCTTATGTCTCCGATCTTCCCTAAAACAGAGTTAAACTTGTTTTTATTGCCCTGTTCTATTAAGGAATCTTGCTAGAAAAGCAAGATGCCATTCCAAGTCATGCCTGGTGGGTATCTATTCACTTTTCTGGAGTTAAATGCACTCAGCTTAATACTTCACAATAGCCAATAGACATTGTCAAAGGCAGAAATCAAATGACTGCCATTAACACTTGGTGCCTTTGAAAATATCTCTCTGGTAGTTGTGGATAAAAAGTTTCCTGCCTGATTAGGGCTTGATGGCGTATCAGATGAAATCAGATCTTTTAAAAAAAATAACGTCAGGCAGTGGGAGTATGACTTTCATGTATGAATGATGCAATCCAGTCATCTCTAGTTCATGTCTGTATTTCTTCATAGTAGCAGTGTTCAGGTTTTGGAGGATTTTTGTTTCTTAAGTGAAAACAGTAAGGAAGAAATACGAGCAGGTAGGCCAGGAATAGACTCGTGTCCATCAGGGGCGTTTGTGACTCCTGATTCCCATGTGCGTGTGTGTGAGCATGGGGAGAGCAGATGTTTGCACTGCCTGTTTCCAGCTGTTTCAGGCTCCTATGTTCAGTGGCAGCAGCTGCCCTGGCTCTGACACAACCCTGGGCCTGTGCCCAGGTTCCTTCAGCAGTCCGCTTGCCTGAACTTGCAGGCCACCTCTGCCTCAGCTGCTGCTTTAAGAGGTTGACCCTGAGGGGAATCTGCCCCCTTCCCCATTCCAGCTCAGCAGCACCAGCGAATGGCAAGCATCATCTGGTGCCTTGTCATGTTGACTGCAGATATTTGGGGGCCATGGTCAGGTTTGGTGAGCGTTTTTTTGTTTCCTTATCTAATAGGAAGAGAAGAATATTCCTGATGTCTCAAACCTATAGAAGGCAGTGTGACAGTAAAGATTTACCTTCCAAACTAAATCAAAATATAACGGCAGTTCCTACACGAAACCCAGGAATTGGGACTGACTTAAAACAGATAATAAATTAACAAAGCCAGTTCTGTCAAACAGTATTATTCATTGAAGGGCAGTTTCATTTTTAAGAAGCTTAGTTTGTTTCAATAAGCCAGGATAGCGCTAGTAACACTACTGAAGAGCTTATATTTAATGCTTTAATCTGTCCCATTCAAATCACACAATTTCCACGCTACCTGGCTTTGCATTAGTACACACTCCAAGTAAATCCTAAATCCCTCAAATGAGGACCTGCGCTCTGCTTTCTGTCTGACTGCATTTTAAGTAATTTTGCGTTTTGTTCCACAGTGCTAAGAAAATGGCTGAATTCTGAACAATATTCCTGCCTCGCCTAGCAGTCTACGCAGTGGGCATTTGCTAGATCTTGAAAGTGCTCTGCAACTTTAGATGCGCTTGTTCGGAGCTTCCTCACCGTCCCAGTGTAGCCCATTCCACAGCAGGGACTGCCCTTTTTTGAGTTAAAAGAATCATTATTGGATCTGTGCCAAAAATGTGTATGTGCAAACATGCACACGTGCACACGTAGAAGCGATCTTGTTGGCCGACCAGCACTTGCTTCATTAGGCAGGAATCAACTAGCTGGTGCTCTACCAGCTTCTTTGAGGTAGCCTATACCAAAGCAGCTCATCTGTGATCAGTTATGCTGGCTGTGAAACAACCCTTTGAAGCAGCCCCCCGGCAAAAGGTCAGGATTTCTGTTTCCTGAGCTTGCACATTCATCTTGTTAATGGACCGTGCTCCCTCTGTATGCGCAGGCTCAGATCATTACACGAAAAGGAGAGAATTTTCCCTGCCTGCTAGCACATTTATCCCCTATAGCAAAATGAGACTGATGATTGCAACAGTGTTTTTCTCCAGCCATTCAGGTTTGGACTGCTCCACGTCCCGCCTTCTCTTCCTCCCTTTATTATTTTTTAAAATGGAAAACCTCTGGCAGCACAAAACAGGATCCCTAGCCAAAGGGGAACTGGATATTTTGAAGCCGAAAGGCTATTTTTCTCAAAGTACTGAAGTCACTTTCTTTTCTAGCAATTCTTTTTAGAACAATATGCAAAAGTGATGAGCGAGAAATGCTTGAACCAGAACGCTTGAATTTAAAATAAACTGAAGACCTAAAGAAGGAGGGCGATGCCGACATGTTTTTTTGTAGGCTTTGCCAATAGGGCTCCCAGTCCTGCTAAAAAAAATGATGAAATACTTGTGTTCTTCTGAGGAAGGGATTTCAAACTCATACTCATAATGTATTGATTTATGCACATGTATCTTTTCATAAAACAACCACTGTGATGTTTTCCACTCGATCTGAATCCAGGTCCTAGTGGTAAGAGTAACCTAAAAATTTTACCAGTGGCTATCTGCTAGCCATTTGTTCGACACTCATGATTAAGAATGGAGAAACGCTTCCCGTCACAATAGTTACTGCGTGAATGGGGTAGGGGGAACGTAACCCCCCCCAACTCACCCCTCTCAACTGCCTTTGTGGCGAAACTTAAAAGAAACAAAAACCACTGAAACGCACTGGGACCTTTGCAGAGTTCAAGTTTCAGTGGCATCTTTCACCAGCATCAAATGTACTTTAAAATCTGCACAATTAACAGGTGACACTACGTGCAACTTGCAGAAACACTCTCTTGTTTTGAGGTGCTTATATTAAGTAGATAATGTGTTCATTTTTGTTTGAAAAGGCAACTTTGCATGTGCCTGTCTTTTACATGCGGAAAAAGTGTGTATTATGCATTTCAATACATTGTTAACATTTGCATTTTATGCCAGTAAGCTGAATAAATCGTTTTTATTTGTAATCTATCTGCTACTAATAGAATTGTACGCACATAACACCCAAGAAAAGCTTTTCCACCGCGTAGCGGCTCTCGCCATTCATGTTTTTTAGCGTTACTCAGCCTCAGTTTTCTCTCGGTTGCCTGTCCACGATGAGCACTTTGCGCGGGACGACGCAGGGTACTTCTCTTTTCCTTTCTCCTTCCGCGGTAACTCGACGGCGAAGAGAGAAAATAACAACAGCTCAGGGAGTCGTTGGGGCTGTTATTTGTTCCCACCTTTCTCGCTATCTTCGAGCCCGTTTTGCGGAAAACGCAGCCACGATGCCCAAGGCAACGTTTCCGCCTCTGATTTC